GAGGGATACAAGGGTATTCCATCCTAAGGATGATTGGAGCCGTCGTAGGCTCGCCTGGTATTCCAGCCTGAGGGTGATTGGTCCATGCATGAGTGTTCATATTCATTAGTCGATTAATTATGTATGATATTCTGAGAGTTGAAGGATGCATTATCGTGTCAGCAAAGAGTGTTCGCTCCAGGAAAAGGGAAAGTTAGGTTTCTGATACTTTGGATCATCATGATTTTGTCAAGTTGGCAGAGTGGCATGAAGGATAGACCTTATGAAAAGGTTCAATTAGGATTCACATGACCTTTCGCGATTCTCACTTGCGAAAGTGCGCCATGGATCAGGAGGCGGTAGTATCGTTAAATGACATTCAGGTCGGTGAGCGCCTGGATTATATGGAGAGGCCTGTGGCCATTCTGGAGAGAGGGGAAGGTTCTGCGGGACAAGGAGGTACTTTTGGTAAAGGTACAATGGGAGTACCATTGAGGGTCTGAGTGGGCGTGGGAGCCGGAGGCAGAGTGCGGGAGCACTATATGAGGATGTTTGTCGTAGCAGACTTCGAGGACGAAGTCTAGTTCAAGTGGGGGAGAATTGTAATGCCCCGATTCTCGAATACCAATTTATGGTTATAAATTCTCATGAATTCAAGATCTACTCGACGAGTTAGTTGCCTGACTCATCGAGTAGCAGCGGGTTTGGGTCACATGTTTAAGTGACCAACTCGCCGAGCCGGAAGAGTGACTCGACGAGTTGGAGTTGGAGGGTGAAACCCTAATTTCTGGGGTTTGACACCCTATTTAAGGGATCATTAGCCCCCCCTTAGTTCTTTTGCAGCCTCTTGAGAGTCCAGAAACCCTAATTCGTGTGTGTGCTCCTTATTAGTGTAAATTTTAAGCTTGGAAAGAAGACCTTGATGCAAGAAACTTGAAGATCAACAAGTTGGAGGCAAGAACGTTTGTGGGTCTGAAGTATATCTCAGCTAGCTTCATTTGAGGTATAAATTCATGATCTTGACCTCATTCCTTTCTAGATCTCTTTGGATGAAGTTAGGGCTTCTTGGCTTGGTTATGAATCTATTCTTGGGCATGAGCTCGGATCTGAAGTTGTAACTTCAGATCTAATCTCTCTTTGATTTGTAAGTCCATAAAGTTATCAGCATTGGCAAGCATGAACTCCTCCTTAAGTGTAAAACCCCATTTCAAGCTTGGTTTTGGCATTTTGAGTCATTAGAGCATTGCATGCATGTAAAGTTTGCAACTTTACGTGATAAGCATGCCTTGGGAACTTGGATCTGCAGTATGGAGCCTTAGCATGGCTTAAAAAGCATCTGTATGGATGAAGGACTGATAGACTCGACGAGTCGTATGAAGATGGTTATGAACTCGACGGGTTGGATGAATAACTCGGCGAGTGGCATGGTGACTCGGCGAGTTGGAAAGTTATGTTAGGAACTTGGCGAGTAGCTGATGGTACCCGATGAGTTGAGGTCAACATGGACCGTTGACCTTGATAGTTGACTTTGACTTTGATCAAGGTTTAACCGTTTTGACTTTTGAGGATAATTGGTACGCGAATATTTATGAATTGGATCATTGATGGTTATAGGTGTTGGAGTTTGGGGCAGTGTTTCGGGAGCATGATTTCGTGGTTCAGTCCGACATTGCAAGGTGAGTTCTCCTCACTATATCAACATGGTCTATGACACCAAGGCCGACCCTTTATGATTTACATCCTGGTTTGGGATGGTTGCTATATTAGATTACATCATGGTTTAGGATGGTTGCTATATTAGATTACACCCTGTACTAGGATGGTTGCTATGCTAGTAATCTGTTTGATTGATATCCTGGTTGTAGAATGGTGTCTATGTTAGAGATCGATTAGATCTGTATGACTCTCTGTTATTGCATGCTAGTGTATGATATTTATGTGCACATGTTAATTGGTTTGGGGAAAGGGTTGAGGCAGGTCCTGTTGTGTGCAGTAGGCCAAGACACCATGGGCGGACCGGGCAGACTGCAAGCCCGGGCTGGGAAAATATAGTCAGACTGAAGGCTCATCAAGCGGTCCGGATAGGCTGAAGGCCCCGATGAGGGCGGTCCAGACGTACTGTTGGGTTTTGAGCAATCTAACACTTCCTAAGTGTGCATGCAACCCTAATAAACCTTGGATCTATGTTTGTCTAAATACATGCAAAATAATAATTTTCCAAGGTTTATAACCTATCTAACATGGCATTGGGAACATTTCAACATAAAGAGTTAGAAGAGATTACATACCTTTTTGATGAGTTTGGTTCTTGAGGAGTTTGAGGGCCAAGCACCAATAGTGTGAATGCCTCAAATGGAATCACAAAACACCACAAACTCTTGGAAAACTTTGAGAGAGAATACACACTTGTATTTTCGGCCACACACAAGCACACACACTAGTTCACTAGTTACACTTAGGCTCCATTTCATGCTCCATAAGCATGCTTATATAGTACGCATGGTTAGGGTGAAACCCTAATAACCCATGACCTTTCCTTTCCAAGGATCCATGGATTAAAAGCTCCATGGATCATCCATGGACTTCCATATAAGCCTAGCCCATTAACAAAAGAGCATTAGCCCACACTATATAAAACCAATAGCCCATAATCTAATTAGTCTTCCTTTTAATATCTAAATTAATTCATAATTAATTTAAGGCTAAAACTAATTAAATAACATAATCTCATATTAATATATTATAACTTATAATATATTAATAACCATATGTGTATAACTCTCATAAAATTATCCATAAATAGTTTGGATGAGATGCAACCCAAATGGACCATGCCGGGTCGGGTCAAGTATGTACCAAATAAGTTATGGACTTAGACACCTTATCCAACACGTACTGAGGGCTCGAAGAGCGGTCCAGATAGACTAAGGACCGGGAGTCGATCCAGTTAGACTGATGGCTTATTATACATGTTGTATTTGTTTGCTTGTATGTTTATATGATATGGTTATATATGTATGACATTGGTATTTTGGGGGAACTCACTAAACTTTCGGGCTTACAGATTCAGTTTATTATTTTAGGTACATCGGGGGACCACGACAAGGCAAAGGCGTGATTGTACAGCTCCTCATCATTTGTTATGATTTCTGGGAAAACTCTGATATAGACTATTTTGGAAACAAAGTTGTAATAACTATTGATCTAAAGTGTTTTTGAAAAGTTTAAATTTGGCTTGAATTTTATGGGTGTTACACAACAATAGTTCAAACAAGAACAAAAGCATCCGTACATGGAAGAATCACCATTCATGGAAGACTACCGTCAGCCATGACCGAAGCAACCATTATTTTAAAACATATATGTCCTTTCGGTGGCGGGAGGAATGAGACACGTAATGACACATCGCTCCATTATTATTAAAGACATTATTAAAGACCATTTCGTTGTGGAAGGGATTGTAATTTATTTTATTTGTAATGTCTCTCATTTGTCGTTATCGATAGAGTATACGTCATATGTTGATAGGTTACATGGCATGTATCAATATGTAAGTGTCATATATAGAATGTGACGTGAGATGTAACATAAAGTGTCTACTCCTCCATAGTATAGGGGAATATATTGTAAATATGTTTGTCGTCTTGCAATCATATGATTGCAATTCAATTATGTAATCGGCTCTCTTGAGCCTATAAATAGGGTCTTTGCCCGTATGGAATAAATAAGATGTTTTGAGTGTTTAAGACTTGAGTTGAATCTCAAAGTTCTTCCTCTATTAGAATAGTTGTTGTATTTCTGAATAGTAGAGCTCTTTGTTGAAATAATTATTCAATTTTTGAATAGCAGAGCCCTATCCAGCCCATACATAAAATTAATCTAAACAATCCATCATCAATATCATCCCAATGGATCATTCAAGTATAATCCTATCATAATTTTTATTAATTTTTTCATGTTGTTAATTTTGGTATTAAAACATGTTTAGGAAAAAATTGGTATCAGAGCATGTTTAGGAATTTTTTTGGTATCAGAGGATGTTCATGAAAATTTTTAATGGGGTGGGAGGGGGGGGGGGGGGGACATAAGTTTTTGCATTTCCAACCGGATCTTTTCTAGTTTTCAACAACTCACAATTATTTGTTCTTTGACTTATTTCTATGTTTTTTATGAAGGTTCGATGGATTTGGAGAGCTATGATGGAAATTTTGACCGAGTAATGGAAGTGATAGGTAGAGGAGGGAGTCATCAGTGGATGAGATTGGAGTTGGAGGTGGAAGAGAGAGGGATTGACGAATCAAAGTCTTAAATGACATGGTCAGGGTGTGTGTTGCGTAGCTTTCAACAACTCAACAATTATGTGTTCTTTGACTTATTTCTATATGTTTATACATTTCCAACCGGATTTTGTCTAGTTTTCAACAACTCAACAATTATTTGTTTTTTGACTTATTTCTATGTTTTTTTATGAAGGTTCAATGGATTTGGGGAGCTATGATGGAAATTTTAACCGAGGAATAGAAGCGGTAAGTAGAGGAGGTAGTGAGTAATGGGATAAGATTGAAGTTGGCGGTGGAAGAGAGAGGGATCGACAGATCAAAATCTTAAATGGCAGGGACAATATATGTGTTGCATAGGATGATCATACAAGACCAAAAAAACGACCTCAACTGAAACCCGACTATAAACGAATGACCAACACCAAATAAACTTTCTGATTTAATATTTGTTTTTCCAATTTCTTGAATTACGGTTTTGATGCAAAGAGTTCTCGGTCCTCTTGGTTCGATTCCGGTCGACTTTTGGTTATGTTATTTTTTTTGGATCCATATGCTTAGTTGTATATAGATTTAATCTATATACATATATTTATCATTTTTGACATGGAAAACCGGAACAAGGACCAACATATACATTTGGTTTGGATTTATTTTTGTATAATATTTCAATTTCGGGTTCGATCCGAATCCTGGACCACGAGGGCCGAATACTACACCATCATATCATGACCAAATTTGCAGTTTTTTTTTTTTTTTCTTTAATAAGAAATACGGTTTCTTTTTATTTTTGTGGGGTTTGGCCGGAGGGGAAACAAAGGAGAGGAATGCCGTTGGGTAAGTACTACTGTGACTACTGCGATAAGCAGTTTCAGGACACCCCTTTCCACCGGAAACGCCACCTTCAGGGCCTTCTCCACCAGAAAGCCAAAGCTCTCTGGTACGCCTCCATACCACGAGGTCTCTCTCTCTCTCTCTCTCTCTCTCTCTCTCTCTCTCGTATTATACGACTTTATGTTTTCTTCTAATTTACAGATCCCAATCAAGTATCCCTACAATCATCAACTGCTGGACTCTGCAATCGCTTCATCCGAACGGTAATCGCTTCGCTCCTTTGTTTTCCACAGATTTTATGAACTTTCAAATCGGCGTTTAGTTCTTTTTGGGTTAATTTCATAATGTGAAAGTACCATGAATGAAATTTCTGGTGGCGACATGCTAGCAGCGTTTCTTTAATGATATTAATCGAGATTTACACATTCATTATTGTAAAAAGTTTCATACTCATAGAAATTGATATATAGATTTCCAGATATTGAGAAAAAAAACGTTCACCTAATGAAACATTGTAGCCCTACACTTTAACAATACTTGTATCATCATCATCATCATCACGTTCATTCATTGATTGTTTTTAGTTTCACTTTCTCTTGGTATTTTAATGAATTCCAACTTTCTATTTGCAGGGTTCATGCCCATATGGTGATTCATGTAAATATGTTCATCCCAATCAAAACCTTCCAAACATGAACATGCAGGGTTTTGCAGGTGAATACTTGTTCCTTTATAGGGTTTCTTTTAAATATTTACTCCCCATTGTCTATTGCTCTAGTAAAATAAACAAGTTTAGTAGTACATAGCATTAGATTTGAACCTTTTTAATTGTAATATTGAATCTAATCTCCTCTTCAGTTACAAATAGCATTGAAACTCAATTGCCAAGTTTCCCAGGGAGTCAGTCCATTGAAAGATCCTCACTCTCAGGCAAGTATTGCTAATCAACTGTTAGCTGAGAAAAAAAAAAAAAAAAACTTATTTTTATCGCAATTGGTAACATTTACATACTTTTATAGTGTTGTATGCATTTAATCATTACAAAAACAGTTGAAGGCTTTAATCGTATAAAGTTGTATAACTATGTTGTGTTTTTGTGTATTTTGTCCTTCTATGCAAACTATGCTGCAAAATTTTGTGTGATCACCTTTCTTTTCTAGGGATAAATACACATACATATGTATGTATGTATATGTATACGCATATGCATGTAGACACACATACATACATACATACATAACCCCTCAAGAATGTAGACCCAACTGAAATTGGGTAGTAAAGACATGGTTTCTAGGGCTATTTTGACTGAGGATGAGGAGGGCATTCACGTCTTTTGCACCAACTAGAGCTCAAGAGCGAGTTGCTCTAACTTTTGTTGTTAGAATGAAGAATTGTAGTTTCTGTGTCATTGACATTAGTCATTGTTCTGTAGGCTATGCCACACAGGCTGAACCCTAAACCTTAAACCCTAAATTTATTTTGTATACCTTGTGTTTGCAGGCGGCATGGTAGTAGATAGGATGGGTGTTATGCTTGGAAATTTACCTCCATCGTTAAGACCGCCACCAGAAGGTGGATATCCACCTCTTCCATTTGTAGATTGGGGATAGGTTTGTGTTGTATCATTTAAATACTTAATTTTGTTGTATATGAATAAACTATTGGTTTTGTTTATTGGGTAAAATACAGAAAAACCTTTGTATTTTCATCGTTTTATTGCTTAATTATTTATTTTTCGTAGTGAGCGAACCAATACATATATAAAAAACATTTTTTGAGGTTCTTTGAAAAATAAAGAAAAGCATGACCTAGTTTTACTATTTTATTGATATAGCCATTGAACTATTATTATTATTAAGATAAAATTCCACCATTAGTTCTTGTGGTTAACAAAGTCACACACTAAGCTGCTTACGAGTTTCAATTTCTTGCATGGTTGGTCATTATGGCATGTAAAATGTTTTTTATATCCTTATTATTATTATTATTATTTTTTAATATATTTACTTTTTTACTTATTTACAATTTTGGATTAATATTAAATTATAAAATTCCAATGCAACCCAAACCCACCCCTACCCACTACCCTAACCACCCTTTTTGTCTTCTTGATCACCCTTTCTTATTGGTGCACTGCAGTGTGGTCATTTCTACAAAAGTTATATTTCATTGTAAAATATGGTTATTTGTGTAGTTTTAGATTCCAATATTGTAGTCGACATCAATATCAAAATCAAAAGCACAAAAATTAGGAAAAATGTTTAGTTCCACATAAACTAGAGTTAATACTTTCTAGATCCCCGAACTATTGCAAACTTTAAAAAAAAAGGCAAAATCTAGAGAAACATGTAGACTTGAGTTGGTTGTAGGTCTCTAGCGATAGAAGTTTATTATTATTATTATTATTATTATTATTATTATTATTTTTAACTTGTAGGTCAAATGTTAAGGTGTAGACAAAGGCATGATGTCGGTGGTTCATTGGGTTAAAGAAGGTAGATGATGGGCAAGAATCGTATAACCGATAACTAAATTCATCACATGAGTATTTGTTAAAGATCCGTAATGACAAAAAAAAAAAGAGAAAATACTTAAGATATTGACAAACCTAGTGGTGGCCAACCGATCAAACCGAAGGGTCGTTGAAGGTTAACGGTGAGAGAGGAAACATGGCACAGGAGAAACTAAAGGTGGCCAATGGTGGTGACGAATAGAGAGATAAAAAGGAAGAGGGGTACGCGTGAGGTGGTGGTAGAGGAGTAAACATTGATTTGAAAAAGGGAAACAACCTACGCTTTGGGTTGGTGATGCTGAATGTTGGAACCTAGGGTTGACGGTGTTGTACTCGTCAAATTGTAATAAACTCATATAACATGCCTTATCCACATAATAAATTGAAATCGTATGGACCTCTGCTTAAAACTTAATAGAGACTAAACGTGCAAAGTCTATTTAATTCAATGATTTAATTCCTAAAGTCCATTTAACTCTACAGACTACTAAGATTAGGTCCATTTTCTTCTGGCTTCTCTCCTCCTTATATTGCTTTCTCCTTTTTACGGGACTCCCATGTTGATTAGGGGGGGGGGGGGGGGGGGGGGGGATTTTAATAGGATATTCACTTATAGGCCATATTGGTCGACCTTTAATAGGCTCTACCTTATAGATATAAGTTGCTTTCTTACATTAAATTTAGCCTTGAATACCTTGTGTGTATAGAATCACACTTGATACTCCTTTTGCAATTGATCTTGTATAGCTTTCATTGGGATTGTTGGGTTGGATTCAACCTGGTCTGTTATTTGCTTAGCAGTGAACTTTGTAGTTGGAGATCCAATTTTTAATATTTGTATTCATGATTGTATTTTTTATAAACCAACTACCATCTATTGTTGGCCTATAACCTTACAGTCCCTTAACAGACAACCCTTAACCATTTTTTTTTTTCATTTTTTAAAGAATATATTACTCTTGGTTTCTAATACATGCAATCATATCTTTTCCTTTAACTCATTTTTACTTTTATATTTTGTCATAACGTAAAAGTTACTTTACATATCTCTCCTTTGGAGCACCTTGTCTCATTCCCCAGTTGTTTTAGTAACTTTATTCTTCGCTTCCATAT